AATAATAATTAGTTTTTCAAGCGTTTAAAAATGTCTGACTGTATGAAAAAGTCACATTAGAAATGAATAAATCAATACGGATTTTTTTAACTATAATTGTTCGTTGAAGCATGTTTTAAAAAATACAATTTTCCAATTATATAAATATAAGAAGAGACAAAACTTTTATTATTAGCATTATGAATTATTGGTTGGGTATCATAGTATCACTGGTATCATAGCAAGATATCAAGTATCATAATACTCTCTCTCTCTCTCTCTCTCTCTCTCTCTCTCTCCCTGTCATTCATTCTTTTTTATTGTTGTTTTGTTTGTTTTGTTTTGTTTAAATTAATAGTAACGTAGATATATTAAATAGAAAAGAAATTACTTTGTATCGTAAGATTTTATGTTATTTAAATTCTTTAAAATATCAAAGAATAAACAATATTCAATTTGATGGGACGAAGGTAAAAGTAATATTTACTCCTATTAATTTTACAACGTATTATGAAAATAGGAGAATCACTCGTTATCTCTCCTTCACAATTACAACATAAATTCGGAGAATAATTGACGTTCGATTGCTCTTTACGTAATAATGAGGCTTTAATGATATTAATCACAAAGTTACACATTTGTGCAATAATTGGGTTAGAAATTCGCACTGGTAGTCCGAATAAATTTGTCACTATATGTTCGCGCCTGGTCCAATAACAATTTTTAGTGGGTCGAAATGTCGTCCGCATTTGTCTAGACGAGGAAAGAGAAGTCGCGAGAGGACGTAAATTACACGGACTCTGTACAAGAGAATATAATGGAACATCATTTCTGCGATGTCCCGTAAGTCTCGGCCGAAGCCACGGTTTATCCACCTCTCGCGAAACTTGAAAAATGTCGCGATCAGCCTCGCTCGAATCAATCAGATTACGCGTATAACAGAACGAAGACGCGCGTCACTTGCTTATAAAACATAATTAATTATTATTGATTAAATCGATCGAGCGCCACGGCCAACAAAATGCCTACTCGCGCTCAAGTACCAATTATAACGTTAAATGACGTGGACGGGATGGACCGATGGCGTGCTCCTCGACCCTGTTCAATCCTCCCCCACCCAGCCCCTTCCTCATTTCTGCCACGCAATGAATTAACTCAACAACTAGAAGAAACGTTAAAGGAAAGTGAAGTGGATGGTTAAAGTCCACTCCATAGGATCGCTAATCCATCCATTCGTCCATTCATCCAATTCATCCATTCATACATTCATTCATTCATCCATACATCCATCGAACGATCGATCGATCGATCGATCGCTTCCTCCTGCACTCGCATCGCGGCCAATTCCTATCGCGATTGATATTTCAATCGTTAACTCTCCGGTGGCCTGTGTCAAGTCGTTGCACCTCGCACTTTGTCCGTCCATCGTTAATTTTTACAAAACGAGCCTCTCTCTACTTCTTCCTCATTGTGCTCTTCCTTTTTCCGCTCAGCCATCCCAAACAAGCCGTACAGAATTTACATACTGCCGCCGACTTCCTTATCGCCAAAAAGCGTTACTCGTTCCAGATAACGATTGCAACGTCCTTCGTCACGCCGATTGTACTGCAGCGCTAGGAGGCCAGGATGACCCCCCCCCCCCAAAAAAAATCCCCCAGGGACGAAAGCTGGCACCCCGAACTAGCTCAAAAGGAAGGCAGGCGCACGATTTGCTGTCCAGTCTTAGGTCGATTCTTACACCTCCTCTTTCCCGCCCAGCTAATCCGCCCCCGCGACGCGATTAAAATTCATCTTTAACGCAACCTCGTAACCGAGGCTAAGGATTTTGACGGGCGCTTACCTCTCGCTGTACGTATTCTGATGAGAACCAGAGGGTCAGGTCAGTGTGGTTTTGCGACGCTGTTGCGGCCGGCGTCGACGGCGATATAAGCCAACGTGCTACACTGAATAGGAGGAGGTGGCCAAGGAAGTGCCCTGTGTCCGGTCAGCCGACGACTGAGCGAAAGGCGCGCGCACGGGCCCCGACGCTGTCATATATATATATATATATATATATATATATATATATATATT